CAGGTAAGCACAAAACACAAAGAATGGCCTTTTATTATTTTTATTTAATCACCTTATTAAATTCAGAAAACGTTTCAAATGTCCTCCGGGGTCTTTTTTCTTTTTTTTCTTGCAGCGTGCCCTTCAGTAATAATTAATCTACTCTTTCATGAGGCAAAGGGGGATGGTTTGCCCACTATGTACGGGCGAGACTGGGGGCACATGAGGACAGACATGGAGCACACAGGGGTAAGACTTGTGTCCCTCAGCGGTCCTACACACCCAGGTGGTATTAATCTCTAATAACTTCCCCCACAAAGCACCTCCAGGCAGCGACAGGAGCAATGTTACAGGTAGATGATGCGTTTTACCAGCGCTAAGTATGAATCAGGATATTAAAAAATTGTAGGAGGGCAAAAGCAATTTCCCCCTGAAGGGATTTTAAAATTACAGCTCTCAGACTGGAAGTAAGTTCTGCCATAAAATCATTTTCTTGTCCTCACCTTTCAAAATAAAACACCATTCCTCAACCAACATTGCTGTATGTGTCCGCTTAAAAAGCTTCTGCAAATGAAGGTCTTCCTGGCAGACAGTTATGACAAAAGCGGGATTTAAAGACTCCTTAGATGCACGGTGTGCGGACTATTGTGCATTGATGTGGCTGTGCATAAAGACATCAGTCTTGAATTAAATAAGATCCTGTTAAACCATGTCTGCACAGATTTTCCTTCGGAGGAAAAACCAGAATGAAGTCATTGTTGCATTATTTCATTCTGACTGCTCTGACGCCATTCATTTATTGCATTCAATTATAGCAGACTGTTGTTGAATTTGTAAAGCAACACATACTTGTTTTTTTTTTTTTACTGGCTTCATTAGACAATGTTCAGGCTGTGGCGCTGATCCTTTCCAACTCTAATGGCAATTGTTTTCAGCGCTGCTGCTGATAAATATACATTTAAATACAGTTCCTTACAGCTGGAAGAATGGGCTTTTGTTGTAAACTGAATGATGCTTTGGTTGTTCTGCACAAATGAAAACGTGCTTAAAGGCCTGTTCTTTACAGTGAGAAGACGTGCATCATGCATGCTCATGCAATGTGAAATTCAGCCGCTTTACACCATGCAGTGCTACATTGAAATAAGCTGAGTTAGCTGAGTAAACTCATTTGAGGTGATTTTTAAACCGGTTGGTGATATCTTTGGTGCCATCTTATTTTAATTCTGACACTTGCTTACTGTTTTTTAGCTGTATTAATGTGTCTTGCTGTTCTTTGTGTAGCCTTAGTTGCTGTCAGTTAAAGTTCTAATCAACTTTTCTTATCCATCAGCAAATGAATACTGGTGTTTTGTGAAAGTGTCTCATAGAATTAGTTTTGGATGCTCAAAAAGTCTGGAAAAAATGGGTTTCCCAACTCTAGTGTCATTTCTATAAGAATATGTTTCTGTCTTAGTTTGAATATGCTCGTGCCTGTCAATAGATTGTGAACGAGTGTGTGTATGTGTGTGGATTGATCACGTAATCTGAGTCTTATCGCCGTGGGTCTACGGGGATCAAGCAGTCCTGAGATCTACACAACCTGTCAAACACCGAGCTTTGAATCAGGACTTAGACTGAGCTAATTATCCTATCAGTGTCAAGCATTTAAAGCAAGGCTGACACAGATAGCATGGCAATGAAAATCAGTTAGAAAACCTCTTCCAATTAGTGACTTTTTACTGTACATATGGTCGAATTCAGGGGAAAATGATCAAATCTTATTTTAGAGGCGCAGGTTGGTGATTTTTATGTCACGCTAAAGCCATAATGAGGCTGCATCTGTCTGCCTTTTCTGAGTCTTAACAAGACATTTTAGTTTTACAGGATTTATGACTTGTTTCCAACAGACTGATTCTCATCTAAGTGTCACTTCTTCAAAATGATATGAAACCTGTCTGCGTCTAAAAGTCTCAAGTACATGATTAGTGCCGAAACAAACTCAGATCAGATATCAAATCAGTTACTTTAGCTTTCCAATGAGTTATGGTGTGAAATACCAACGAGCTCACGTTATTGACACTGGAAAGAAATGCAAGTGAATATACTGACAAACATAATTCATTTCTCACTTTTGAGCCGTGTCCCTTGATGAGAAAATTAGGTTACGACTAGATTTTCATTAAAGCTTAAGAAGAAATGAAGGAGCGCATGAAGGCTGAATGACAGATAACTGGGCTTCCCAAAATATTATAGACAAACTTTAGATCAATGAATTCATCCGTACTATCAGTAATAATGACAAGATGTAGATGACGATTATAAGGAAGTGTAGGGACATGAGCTGAAAAAAGTCCCGAGGCATCCGTCTCAACCAGCATGAGTCAGTCTTTGTGATGACAATGTCACCGATCTGAGCACAGCCCTCCTCACATGCGCCCACAACCAAATGGCCACACAAGGTCAAATCATAAGAGAAATGTTATTTATATCCTCCATTTTGTATCCCAATCCAGATCAGCAACAAACACCCGCCCAACTCTCTTTCCCGCTGTTTCTGTTGCACATCCTTTTTACCTTCTTTTCCCTCCATCTTCTAATGAACTGATCATAACTAAGAGGCTTCAGAGATGGTCAAAGTAATCCTGGCAGATGGTCTTTAATCCTGTCGGCCTTTGGCTTTCTGAAAAGTGCATTCAAGATAACGTGACCCGAGGAAAAGGTTACAGCTACTCAGGACATCGGGCTCGGGACTTGGGGCCTGTACTTCTCATTAATAGCTCTTTAACAAGCCTGATAAAACATGACGACACCTCAGGTGACAACTGAGTACACACAAGATTAGTTTGGGAGTCAACATGTGCCCCTGATCTGTCATGCTTGGTGTAAATAAGATCAGACAATAGAGGGGGGGGGGAAGAAAGTCAGACCAACCGAAGAACTTCAACGCCTCTCAAACTCCAATCAGACAGTTTCAAAAACTCCCAAGTAAGCCAGACGCCACACATGGCTGAGAGCTGCGCTGCTGGCAACTTCCGTCAACTCAAGATTTAGATTCAGGATTGTTTTATTGTTTGTAGTTCACAAGGTTTTCCTCAGAGAGAGATTTATCCGCATATATCCCCCTCCTCTTCAAAACAAGCAGACTTGTGGTTAACACCTGCAGAAATACCAATAAAAGACGTGCCATGTAAAAGAAATTTGGCGAATACAGGCTGTCTGGTGAGTGGGCTGCTAGCCAAGTGGCCACTAACATCAACACAACTGACGCAGTGTTACTACTTCCTGAAAGCTTTTCCTTATATTTGGAGGAGAATTGGATTTCATTTTTTACAGTTGCTTTCTTGTCGCTTTTACTTTACGTGTTACCAAAAAATGCAGGCTTGCCGGCTGTTGTCTTTATTTTTACTTTGCGGTAGGGTGAATAGATTAAAGACAGTTTAATCGTGTTGCACTAAAAGGGTTATGTTCCAGCTAGCCCTCGTTCCAGGTGAAGATTACACTCAGAGTTCCTTCAAACCCAACAAAGAGAAAAACGCCTTCTTTGTGCTTCAAATGGCTATAACCAGCCAACAGTCCACACGCTGCAGCCATCGGTGCAGACACAACCTCAGCCTGTCTGATTCAGTTAGTGCTTATGAAATGGAGCATCTGCAGAAGCTCCCACAGAGTATGTAAACCTAAGCTCTGCCTTGGGAAATGAGCTGAGGGGGTCATTTAGATTTGGGATGTGGGGGACGCATGCAGTGCTGCCTCTGTTCTCACTCTCTCAGGTAACAGTTTGACACACAAGAGATTCCGCTCCTGGCTAATGCATTTCAAGCGCTAGGCTAAACAGCAACACCTGAGCAACCCTAACTTCGCCCCCCCTCCTCCTCCTCCTTTTCTGTCTCCCGTTGAACTGGCTCCTCCTGCCTCCTGAGATATTAGGTAATCCGGGAGCAGGGGAAAGGTGATAGGCTCGCCCGTCCTTTTTAAAGCTGTCCTCTTTTGTCAGTCAAACCACTCCACAATTACTATGGATATGCTTCACATGTTTTTCAGAGAGCTTCAAGCCATCCGTTGCATTTGCTGTGCCATCGTCATTTGGCGCTCTATCAGTTAACCTGTGGAAAGTGATAAGAGGGGTTCCTACAGATCACAACAATAGCTGATATATTCGTTAACATGGAACTTAAGTGGCTTTTCTATTGCATCTTATCATATTATCATGTGTATGCTGAAGATGCTTTAGATTGCGACTTAAGCCGGTTTTTATTGTCAGTGAGTTTGTACAAAAGGTTATCAGCACACAACGTACAGTCAAGAACAAAAGCACGGGGGAAAAGTCACAGACAGAGGGGGATGTCTTGTTTCCTTTTCAAATGGAATTACAGCTCATTTCCCAATCAATGGCATGCCTCTTTCTTCCCTGCCTAAGATAAACCCATCACAATTGAAGGATGGAGGAGGGACGAGACAGGGCACCAAAGCAACAGCCGGTCCCGCGTTTTTTTTGTTTGTTTTTTTTTATCTGATGGAGAGAGGTGAACAAACGGAGGGATTAGCTTCCATGGGATGAAAGCAGCTGCTCGTCTTCCATCTCTGTTCCACCCTCCCCTCCCTTCCCTCTCCCTCTCTCCATCCATCCATCCGCCCACACATCCACACTGTGGTCTCCCCTCGCAACCAGAAACATGCTCTATATGTTGTAGTCGCTGTGCTGTCTACACAGCTGCGCTCCACCCTGTACCATAAGCAGTTTCAGCAATGAATAAAACCAGCAGAAAGAAGCCTTACAGTGCACATGGTGTTAAAAAAAAAAAAAAAAAAAAAAACGGGCGCCAAATTTGGTGCCACACAGCAGGAATGGGGAGTTGTAGCAAAGGGTACTTCCCCTGTGGCACCCTCAAAGCACACCACCCTTCCTGATTGTGTCGCCTGGACACTGATACATCAACACTCCATCCCACCACAAAAAAAAAACAAAAAAACACACACCCACAAAGCAACAAGAGACACCCCCACGTTCTGTGACTTCTGTGCAAAGGAAATGACTCTCTTACCTGGCAACAACAGCACACCTTCACTTCCAAATCTGCTCGCCCTGACGAGGAGGCACGCTCATCTGGAGTGGGAGAAGGGAGTCTTGGAGAGAGATAGAGAGAGAGAGAGAGGGAGAGAGAGAGAGGTGGAGCTTGGTTTTGGAGGAGAGAGGGAGGGCTGGATGATGACTCTGTCTGCCATCTATATAGCCAGTCTTGTGGGGGCAGTATGGATGGCGCTAGATCATCTTCTGTTCAAACACACGTGGCAGATGAGACTTGTGAAAGGCAGGGAGAAAAGAACTGGGGGCTGATGACGGGAAGAGGAGGAGGAGGAGGAGGAGGAGGAGGAGGAGGAGGGAAGATGTGTAAGGGAGACAGGAGACTCTGGGCTGTTTAAGCCAGCATCGTCACGCAGCAGTTCCTAGGAATCCCTCCAGTGAGAGGAGAACTGCATCACTGAGTCCTTGGCTGTGATTGGTCGGACAGTGAAGAGACGCCAAGGATGGTGGGCAACGCCGTGTAACCTAAGATGACCCTTTCTACACATATTAACACGCCATGTCTATGTCTGTCAGCCCCCCAGGACATCTGTCACCTTCAAGGACATTGCAAATAAAAATGTGTGTGTCTGTGTGTGTGTGTGTACGTGTGTGTATGTGTTTTGTAAGCTATTGAACTATGGCCTGCCCTTGCACATGAGAAAACCCAAACTCACACACATATACATGCACGCAAACAGAATGGTGCAAGAACTTCTCCGTGAAAGGAAGATGATTTCCCCGGAGGAAGGCTGAGCCTGTCAACAGAAAATCCACACAAACTCCTGCAAGGGCGATTTTTCAGTAGAGAGATTGAATATGTTTACCTCAACACCAAGAAAGAGGTGAGTCAGTGACCTTAAACTATTTCAAAAAGTCTGAGCTGAAAGTTACTCAAAGAATGCTTTCTATATAAATGATCTCCAATGAATTAAGATGGGGATCGTATATCGAGACTCCTTAGACACACGAGTCTTCATCGACACACGATTGATACTTTTCTATTCTTTGGTGGATGACAAAACATAACTTTACGTTTTAACAGAACCGGAATATCTATTTATATTGCTAAGAAAACAAACTAAATTTCTCCTCCAAACAACTGTGTTTATTCAAGTCTTTCTTTTGACTTTCCATTTCAACACACCCCAGTGTTTCCCCTAGGTCTAAAGCATGGGGGGGGGGTAGAAGCCGACATGCCGACACGGCAACATAAACACTTGAAGGAATCTTGGTGTTCATGTGTTACTTTTAATGACAGCTGTCCTTGTCTATTGGAAAGGTATCCTTAAATGACTTCTTTCCCTGATTTCCGACTCTATCCACTATCCTGTCCCTACAATAAAGGCACAAAAAGCCCAAAAATAAATCATAATTTTTATTATTATTTTATTTTTTTAACTTGACCTTCAGGGGGGGCGGGAAGGGGGGGAAGGGGCTGTTGGGCCCCCCTAATATAATGGTAGGGGAAACACTGGACCCTGATGAAGATTTATTTACCTTCCACTAATAGTCATTTTATTGACCTGGTTTTGAACAGATCATAATGTAACCTTACAACACCTTGTTTATTTAGCTAAGATAGCTTTGATCTAGCAGATCTGTACATTGGATTTCTATTTTTAACCAGCGTTTGGGTTCGCTTACCACAGCTGCTTAACGTGGAGTAGGAGGAGGATCGTCCCGCAGAAGTAGCCGTAGCTGATAGAAGTGAAGGTCTTCCAGTTGGATGCAACATGTTTTGATGGGTTGCTGTGCCTGGTGACCCCAGGAGGAATAGACGATGCTTACGCTGGTGCTGATGGGGAAAGAAAGAAAGAAAGAATTTCTTTTGAAGATTTCTTTATGGGCTTTTATGTGAAATGCTGGAAAGGAGCTCAAGGTCGGATTCAAACCCTGGCCGCCCGCCTTAAGGACCCAGCCTCTGCACGCACACTAACCAGTAGGCATGTTCAAGTAATTGTCAAGTTATAAAGCAAACAAGTGTTATTATTGCAGAAGTTAGTATTGTTAATAGCCAAGAAGCACAACATTAGGGTTAACTGTCGGTCTCCTCTCTTATCTTCAATGACATTTATCAGCTTCTTGTTCTAAAATAAACATTGCCATGCCATGTTATTTTAACCAGCAATCAACTTGATCAAATCATAATCTTAAATTAAATTCAGGGCACAAAATTAGCACCAGTCAAATGTTGGAAAGATATGCAATTAAATATGTAATTAACTGGAAACACAGTATGGGTTGATATATGTAAATATTATGTAAATTATCATTTCATTTCCTGTAAATGATAAACTATAACTTCATTAAAGTAAATAAAACTGTAATTAAACCCTCAATTCTAATCAGAGGCTTTAAAATTATTGGAGGAAATGAACCGGCTGAGATGTGCCTGCACAGCGGTCATGTGACACAGGATTCATGAATATGGAAAGTAGATGATGAGGCCATTTCTAGCTGCCTCAGGTAGCAAAACCTGCTTTTCTATTGGCTGCAGGAGAGGCCTGAATAAAAGCATTGCCCAGCTGCACTCAAAGGTCAGACAGGAGCCGACAGGCTGCAGAACGAATAGAGAGCTCCGTTTTGTGTTTGAAACATGAACACAGTCCAATGGATGTTTGAATTAATAGTAGTGGAATTCATTATGCATGAGTGCAATTAAAAATCACCCTAATGTAAGGAACTTTCCAATGCACCTTAGAAATTAAACAATAAAGAAAGAATGGGATCCCTGGATTAAATCGTGTAACTCTATTACATTCTTACACTATACTTACATTATACTATGGATGTATGGTAGAGGCACAACTGTGAATTTCAGTCTTGTTTAAAACCAGCTAAAAACTCCTCATATAAGCCTGAAGTTACTCTTTGGAATGATTTGAATTTGAACAGATTAACATAAATGCATGAATGCTGAGTTCAAGTTTGATTTTAAATACCTACTTTGTATTGATATATAGGAGGAGGTCTAAAACAAATTCACACAATTATTTATGACCAACAGGAAAAACATCAGGAAAACTCGGGTCAAACACTCACCATGAATTTCTGAGTATTCAATAAAATCCATTTCCCCATTGCCTGATCTATCCATCTCTTTTTATATAAATGACACCACCAATCTGGTCAAGCCTCCTTCACGATCCAAGAAAAGACTGTTAGACAGTTTATTTCCGGTTGTGAGTCACATACTGTAGCAGCCGGTGGTGATCTCTATTTATTCAGCACTTTAAGGTCATCCTCATCTCCAGTAAGGCTGTTTTTCATATGACAAGAATCCAATAATCAATGGTCTTTTATAGCAGCAGAACATTTTCAAACACAGCAATGTGAGCATATTTTTTTTTTCAGAAAAGGTCTTGTTTGAAAATGGATCAGAAAAAGACAGGTATTTGCCATATGGTTCATCGAGGAGGGGTCCAGGAGCTTTATGGTCTGCATCAATAAGTAGTAAGATTAACTTATTATTGGCTTCAAGCTTAAGAAAAGGAACTGAAGTGTTATTTTCATGGTCAAAACTGATGTTGAGGCTGAATTGTTGTCAGAGCTACATATTGCTCCTTTAATACTTTAATTAAGCAGTGGCATCCGGTGTTGAGAGAGCAGACCGCATTTCCAGCATGGCGACCGTCATTGACAGGCTTCCAAAGCCCCCTTCAGTACAGATGTGTGACATCATTCAGGCTTTGTCCACTATTATTTACAGTCTATGCTTCAGAACCATTGTAACAAAATGATCAACTCACTGCTGCTACTTTTCAGCTTGCACTTCAGCTTTTCAAAAATGGCCAACCCTCATCTTTACTTCATCATGGCCATGGTGGTCCAAATGAAATAGCCTACAGAAGTAAAAACTGTTGTCCTTGCTTGTCCACAGCTGGGGCCCATGCCATGGGTTGTACAGTGATTACTGGCTATAATGGCAGTTTGTCTCAATATAAAAGAGCTCATTGGTTCTGGAGGGGCTCCACTGGCACACTGACACTGTCAACAGCAGGAACACCAGCTGGATCCTCCCTGGTCCTGTTCTGAAATAGCTTGGCCCCAGTCATTGCGGTGGCCCTGTCCCAGCCAGCAGCCCCTCAACAGGCCGGCAGCAGGCCCGGCTCCACAAGCCTGGCTCCGAGTCCCCCCCCCCTCCCCTCCCCCGCCCCGTCCTGGAGGACAGAGGTGGCTCAAAGGCCCGGAAACAACGAGGGCTGCAAACATTGTCGACCCCTCGCTGTACAAGCAGTGTCCTCTGTCACAGAGTCTCTCGTCTAATGAGCTCAGAACAAAATCAAAGTGACAATATTAATCATGTGATGGGAGAAATAATTAAAGGGGCAATACAGGACTGAGTGAGTCCCCTCCCCTCCCCCCATCCTCCAACAAACTGCAGATAACAGATTACCGCTTGGCTCAGGGAGTGATGAAAAGGTGCCGGGTTAGTCTGAACGTGCCCATTATCAGCCATTTGTGCACTAACACCTGAGATCTGGCAGCAGTTACAACATAGGTGCTAATAAATAAAACCCATCCAGATAGTGTCACCACCACTTTTACATTCATAACAACCGAGTAACACAATCACAGTTTGTATTGTATAGAGACACTGTTGACACCCACCCAAAGTGGTTTTAGGCATAAGAACAGAGAGTACAAGTTGCGACTCAAATGCTCCATGAATGTGTTTCACAAAAAACATGAAACAACTGTTGCACACGCAGTAAATTAAGACTCAGTAGGCTGTGAAACTGAATTTCACTTCTGGGATTAATAAATGGTCTGAATGTGAATCTGAGTCTAAAATTAGTTTAAAATGAACCTCTCTTACTTCCAGGCTCCCACTCTCACCCACAGCGTCTGTATTTTAAGTGGCTGGCTCTGTGGAGTTGTTTCGTCTGGACTTGAACACACCACTCTGGAGCGAGAACCTTCTTTGATTTCAATTGGGTAAAATCCACAAGCCCGACACTGCCTACACACACACAACTTTATCTCCATTTCTAGATCATAATACTGCCAAACTGCACTGCTCCTATGAGATGCTATCCGTTCAATATGCTTGTTCATATCTAGGTAGTAGAGCAGGATGAGCCGGCCCACTAACCGAAGCTACAGCTAGTATATGGCTCCAGCCTTGGCTAGTGGCTGGTGGCTAACTTGCAGTTTGAGCGTAATATTTGTCCGGCATTGTGGGCCAAAATATTAATGATGTGTTTAACTTACAAGTAAGTCTGG